TATGGTGCACACTGACCACACAGACCCATTCTCTCACATGTGGGCCTACCAGCTTTCTCCTGCTTGATTTGAAGCTGCTAGAATTTATGAGTATATATACGTCAAACACGGTACCTCGTAAGACGTATATATATGGCCACGACAGTCAAAGGGTTAATAAACATAATCCTCAAATTTATACATTTATATTCCCCCTTTTCTTTCTGAAATTGATCCTTCAACATTACTGCTACCCCTTCCTTACCTCTCTCTCAGATACTCCTGACTTAATCCCATTTATATCTCCCCACCGAAACCCTCCTACCCTCTTCAGCTTTGTTTCACTTAGACCTAGGACATCCAACTTCTTTTCAGTCATAACAATGGCAATCATCTCTTTCTTATCTGCATTACATCCACGCATATTGAAAATTCTTCTTCTTCTTTCAACAAACCGGCCATATCCCACCGAGACAGGGTGACCCAAAAGGAAAAGTTTCTCTTTTTAAATTTAATAATATACAGTAGACCATCATTTAGCATGGTAGTTACGTTCCTGAAAATGTTGTGTTAGGTAAAATTGTGTTAGATGAACTGAAGAACTTGGGGGAAAAATAGGGTTACGTTCCTTGGAGCCCCAAAAATCCAAACACCTGTTTTTTAGGCCTCCACATCTTACAATAATAAAAGTCAGCATGTAGTTGTAGTTCTTTGTTGTGAAGTATTATGTTATTTTTACTGCTTAAGACTACAAATGAAAGAAATAATAGTATTTCTTACCTTAATTAAATTGTGGGTGCTGGTGTTTGTGGATGATTGTGAAGAGAGTGGAGAGTTATGTTGTGGTCCTACTGGGCTGAGGTGGATGGTAGAGGTTCTGGTACTGAAGTTGATGGTTGTACTGGAGTGTCTAAGTCATTCAGTAAGCCAGTCAAGTTTATTTATTTATTTATTTATTTAAAAATTTGAGCACACATACAGAGGTACAAAAAATACAGATAAGAGCAGCATGCCAAAGCCACTTATACTATGCATAGCATTACGGGCTGGCTTAAAATTAACTTAAGATTAACTAAGCAATGATGAAATCAGTGATAAAACTTTAATGTAAACAGATTACTATAAAGCACAAGTGAGTATTACAAAGACAGGTCATATGGTTGTATGCATTGTTGTACATTCAGTAAAATGGAGTATTCTGTTAGGTAGTGTATTTAAAAAATAATAAAGTTAGATTGGGTTTTAGGTTTAACATTTATGTGATATAATTGTGAGAAACATTTAAGATATACAATTTATAAGGTTCAGTTATTCAGTATTTATTTGGTTTTGGGTGAGTAAGTGATCTTTGAGAAGAGACTTGAATTTATAAACAGGTAGTGTTTCTTTTATATTTACAGGTAATGAATTCCAGATTTTAGGGCCTTTTATGTGTATTGAGTTTTTGCATAGTGTGAGATGGACACGAGGAACATCAAAGAGTGATCTGTGCCTTGTGTTATGGTCATGTGTTCTGTTGAGGTTGGCAAGGAGATGTTTGAGGGGAGGGTTAATATCAGAGTTAAGTGTTCTATGTATGTAATAGGTGCAGTAATAAGTATGGATGTTTTGTATGGTGAGTAGGTTTAGTGTATTGAATATTGGTGGAGTGTGCTGCCTATAGTGAGAATTTGTTATTCTAACTGCGGGCCTTTTGTTGGGTAATTAGTGGTCTGAGATGGTTACTTATTGTTGAGCCCCATGCACAAATTCCATAGGTGAGATAGGGGTAAATAAGAGAGTGATATAGGGCCAGGAGGGCTGACTGTGGGGGCATAGTACCGTATCTTCGATATTTTGCTACAGTCTTGGAAATTTTCTTAGAAATTTGTTGTATTGTGTATGAAATTTGAGTCTATTATCAAGGGGGAAATTCCAAAGAATTTTCCCTCTGTTAGCTTTGGATAGGTGATCCTTTTTATCATTATGTTAAGGGGGACATCTGTAGCTCTGTTACCAAACTGAATGAAGTAGTTTTGTCAATGTTTAGTGTATTTTGTTAGTCCTCATCCAGGTAGATATTTTCTGTAATTCGGTATTTACAGTTTTGGGCTAGCGTGACTGGGCTCGGGTGGGAGAAGACGTATGTAGTGTCATCTGCAAATAGTGTGGGTTTGAGTAATTGCGAAGCATTTGGTAGGTCATTTATGTATAGGAGAAAGAGAAGAGGGCCAAGGACACTTCCCTGTGGGACACCAACTGTAATTGGTTGTGCAGAAGAGTTTGCCCCATTTGCATACACATATTGGCTTCTGTTGCTGAGGTATGACTTGAGGTAGTTGAGGGAGTGCCCTCTTATACCATAGTGTGACAATTTTACGTGGAGCAAGTCATGGTTAACTGTATCAAAAGCTTTACGTAAGTTACTCAGTAAGTCAGTCAAGTTACTCAGTAAGTCAGTCAAGTTACTCAGTAAGTCAGTCAAGTCATTCATTAAGTCAGTCAGGTCACTTACTGAGTGGCTTGACTGACTTACTGAATGACCTGACTGACTTACTGAATGACTTGACTGACTTACTGAATGACTTGACTTACTGAATGACTTGACTGACTTACTGAATGACTTGACTGACTTACTGAGTGACATGACTGACTTACTGAGTGACATGACTGACTTACTGAGTGACATGACTGACTTACTGAGTGACTTGACTGACTTACTGAGTGATTTGACTGACTTACTGAGTGACCTGACTGACTTACTGAATGACCTGACTGACTTACTGAATGACTTGACTTACTGAGTGACATGACTGACTTACTGAGTGACTTGACTGACTTACTGAGTGACCTGACTGACTTACTGAGTGACCTGACTGACTTACTGAGTGACTTGACTGACTTACTGTCAATCAAATCACTCAGTAAGTCATTCAGTCAAGTCAGTAAAGTCACTCATTAAGTCAGTCACGTCATTCAGTCAATCAGTCAAGTCACTAAGTAAGTCAGTTATTCAGTATGTCAGTCATTTAGGAAGTCAGTCATTCAGTCACACAAACTCATGTTTACCTCTTTTTCTGTGTACAAGGTAACACTTCATTACGGCTACAGGTTAGCTCTCGTCTAATATCTTTGTTTCTTTGTTAATTCTAAGACTTAAGTGCTTATACCTCTTCATGCCACTTTCAGCAACACTGGTATGGCTACTGGGTGTCATAATTGCTTGGCAGATACAAGATATAGTAATTAAAATATCATAACACAATTCACAAACACAGCTGCCTTGAAGCAGAGAAAGACTGGACTGGACACGTATGAATTACGAACGCTGGGATGGTGGGGTGTTGTCGGGGAGTGGCAGGGGATGGTGGGAGGGCTCCACAACAAGGCGGCCGCTTGAGCAAAAGAGAATTTTATTTTTCCTTCCCACAAACTGAACTGTGTTAAATTGATTATACGATGTGTTACATAAAATTGTGCCGCAATTCTTTAATCATACAATACTCAAATCGTGCCAAATAAGCTCGTGCTAAATGATGGTCTACTTTATACAAGAGAAAGGGTTACTAGCCCGCTGCTCCCGGCATTTTAGTCTCCTCTTACGACATGCATGGCTTACAGAGGAAAGATTCTTTTCCACTTCCCCATGGAGAATAAGGGAAATAACGAAGAACAAGAACTAGTAAGAAAATAGGTGAAAACCCAGAGGGATGTGTGTTTATACATGCTTGTACATGCACATGTAGTGTGACCTAAATGTAAGTAGAAGTAGCAAGATGTATCCGAAATCTTGCATGTTTATAAGACAGAAAAAAAGACACCAGCAATTGCACCATCATGTAAAACAATTACAGGTTTCTGTTTCACACTCACTTGGCAGGATGGTAGTACTGTACCTCCCTTGGCAGTTGCTGTCTACCAATCTACTACTATTAATATTTTAAGTTCAAAATTGGTAGATTTCTGACAGATCTTACTATCATTAAGAAATGAACACAGTTTTTTGTATGCTTGGTACCAAGAATACTGACAAGAAGCATGAAGATTAAAAAATAAATCCGAATACATCATGAGGTTCTCATGCTGATGCAAGACAGTACAACTGAAACATTTTCAAGAAGCAAGCCTCTAACACCAGATGTAGAAAATATTACAGACATGAAGAATTATTTATTAGCATTTCAGCCGTTTCCAAACAGAGGCAGGGTGATCCGAAAAAGAAAAAATACTTTCATCATCATTCATCCCATCACTGTTTTGCCAGAGCTGTGCCTACACTACAGTTATAAAACTACAACTTATCGTTCAGAGTGCAGGCACTGTATTTTACACCTTCAGGACTCGACTCCAGCCTGTTGGTTTCCCTGAATCCCTTCATAAATGATACCTTGCTCACACGCCAACAGCACGTCAAGTGATACAAACCGTCTGTCTCCACTCACTCCTAAGACGCTCACACACGCTTGCTCAAAGTAGTAATAACCAAAGAAAAGGTTATTATTTTTTAAGCACAAACCACACCTATTCTTACAAGTGTCAGATAAGCAAGGCTGGAATAGCTATGTAAACAGGCAGCCTGCTGGCAGCAACAGCCTGGTTGGCTGCAATGATAGAACCCTCAAACCTGGTTACAGGTTTCTTTATCAAAACCAGAGATGAAGGGATCCAAGAACTAAATTCTGCATCACATGGCACTGTTAAATAACGAAATTTTATACACTGCTATTCTCCAGCCTGACACACAGTGGCTTACTCATGGACTAAGGTACAGTACTGTGGATGAAACAATTCATAGCAAACTCAAAAATTGGGGATTAAACTAGACTAAATGATAATGGTCCATGAGGAACTGACACACTGACCTTTATCTACAATTTCCTGGGTTAGATGTGAATGTGACTTCCTAGCTTACCAAGCTGAAAGTAGGCATTATGATGACAATACTAACTTAAGTAGCTGAGAGCTGCCTGAATGGACTACGAGAAAACGATTAAGACAGTAAATGCATCATTCATGTAAAGAGAAAACAGTGAAATACTTACTGGTAAAAGGCATGCTGGCTAGCAGTAAGGACTCTGTTAAACATCGTGTGTACTTCAAGTGGGGAGAGGAGAAAGCGACATGCTCCTGACAGTAATGAGTAACCCTTCACTGCAAGGCTAACCTGGGATGTACTGTCGCTCTTCTCCAGCAACTGATTATATTCTTGTAGAAAATACTGTTGAAAAAGTTTATTATGGAACCTGTTAATAAAATACTCTAGATAAAATCCAAGTGTGAAAATTACACTTGCATCAGTAAATTGCTTGAAAATATAAAGCAAATTTTATACTGCACATGATATTTAATTAACCCTTTCAGGGTCCATGCCATTGCTCTAGGAGTTTACAGACAGGGTCTGTGCCATAGTACTACATGATGAGTCAACTCACTCAGACAAGGTATGAGCAGTAAATTTGGGAGAGTATAAGAAAGAATGGACCTATGTGATTTATATGCACCATATACAAAAATCCTGCAGCATACAGTGCATGAGAAAAAGCTGTAACTGTGTGTTTTGGATCAAAACAGTAACTTTGCGATGTATTTTGGTATGGATTTTATGATGGTATTCACAATTTCTTGGTCTCCTCTGATGGAATAGAAGATATATTACAGAAATAGAGATGATATTCACAAGTTTTAGGACTGAAAATAGCATAAAGTTGAGCTCAAAGTAGTGGAAATGTTTGATTTTTTGCCGATGTTCAAGAGTCAACAAATTACATCACAGGTTTAATACACGTCAACTGGTGGGTCTAATGTGCATTCACAAATACATCGGTATTATTTACACAATTATCACAATATTGCATAACAGTAAATCTATTTTTCAGTGTGAATAAAAATCAAAATGGAATTCATTTATAAAGTCTGGAAACATAACTAATAAATTGAGGAAATGTTATTTAGTGCCAGGAATGCCTACATTATTTATTCTGGACCCAATTTTGAAAATGGAATATTTTGAAATTAATGTGAAATTAGCTAAATTATCAATTTCTGATCATTTTACTGGGTACCTGAAACAGTTGATTGAGTGGTTTCTTGTGCTCAGTCAATAACATAGCAGGCATACTAGCAAAATAGCTAAGAATTTGGTCAACTAGAACAATGTAATTGGCCTAAAATAGGAGTAAAAGTGGGCAAAATCACCAATGCATAAATATTACTCATGCAGCAAAATTTGTGATAGCATAATCTCATCAAATGTCCATCAAATTTCCTAATTTCTTCATAAGAAAAAAAAATGAAAATTCTTGGAACTTGTGGACAAGTTTCAGATCGAGGGTCTGGACCCTCGAAGGGTTAACTAAACTGATTAAGAAAAATGGCATCCTTGTGTGTGATCTTAGACATCAAGGAAAACTATTATAAAAAATATACAATGGACCCCCAGATTTTGTAGTCGTTAGATTTCGGAATACAGTGGACCCCCGGTTAACGATATTTTTTCACTCCAGAAGTATGTTCAGGTGCCAGTACTGACCGAATTTGTTCCCATAAGAAATATTGTGAAGTAGATTAGTCCATTTCAGACCCCCAAACATACATGTACAAATGCACTTACATAAATACACTTACATAATTGGTCGCATTCGGAGGTAATCGTTATGCGGGGGTCCACTGTATTCAGAAATAGTAACGTTTTTTTCGTCAAAATATTGGCTCGGTGATCGTCATTGAGCTCGGTAAGAGTCATTCGTCCCAAACATGTCTGCACAGCCCAAGCAGCCCGACACACCATTTAGAGCCAGTGTGCCAGTTTATCAGCCAGTGAGGACATCCCACACGTTCAAACTATACATTTCATATTATTCCATTCTTTTTAGTGCTTGTAACTGCTAAATAAGCCACCAGGGACCCAGAGAAAGCTTCTAATGTCAGCCCTTTAGTAAAGAAGGTGAGAAACACTACAGAATTCAAGAAAGACATCATTGCAAAATATGAAAGTGGAGTACGTGTGGCAGAGCTTGCCAGGTTGTATAACAAACCCCATACAACCATCGCTTCTATCGTGGCCAAGAAAAAGGAAATGAAGGAAGCTGTTGTTGCGAAAGGTGTAAATATGCTCACTAAACAGAGATCGCAAATACTGGAAGATGGGGAGACTTTGTTGTTGGTGTGGATCAATAAGAAACAATTATCAGGAGATAGTGTTATGCAGCCGATAATTTGTGAACAGGCAAGGCAGTTGCATGCGGATATCGTAAAGAAAATGCCTTGAACTATTGCTGATGTTAGTGAATTTAAGGCCAGCAAAGGCTAGTTTGAGAGATTTAAGAAGCGTAGTGTCATACACAGTGTGGTAAGGCATGGCAAGGCTGCAAGTTCTGACAAATACGCGACTGAAAAATATGTTCAGGAATTCAAGGGATACATAGAGGCTGAACAATTCAAACCCCAACAAGTGTTCAATGTGACGAAACAGGCCTCTTTCAGAAGAAAATGCCAAAGAGGACCTACATCATGCAAGAGGAAAAGGCACTCCCAGGACACTAGCCTATGAAAAACAGGCTAACTCTCATGTTCTGTAGTAATGCTAGTGGGGATTTCAAAGTGAAGCCTTTACTGGTGTATCACTGTGAAAATCCAAGAGTGTTCAAGAAAAACAGTGTCGCCAAGAGTAAACTGTGTGTGATGTGGAAGGCTAACAGTAAGGCATGGGTTACGAGGGACATTTTCCTCAACTGGTTCAATGAAGTGTTTGACCCCAGTGTGAAGAAATACCTCCTGGAAAATAAATTGGAACTCGAGTGCCTCCTGGTAATGGACAATGCTCTTGCTCATCCTCCAGACTAGGAAGAGAGAATGGTGAAGGAGTTTCGTTTCATCACAGTGAAGTTCTTGCCCCCTAATACCACTCCTCTCATCCAGCCCATGGACCAGCAGGTCATTTCAAACTTCAAAAAACTGTACACCAATGAAATGTTTCAAAGGTGCTTTGATGTGACCTCAGACACTCACTTGACCCTAAGAGAGTTCTAGAAAGATCACTTCAGTATCCTGGATTGCATAAACCTTATACGTAAGGCTTGGGAGGGAGTGACTTGAAGGACTTTGAACTCTGCTTGGAGAAAATTGTGGCCAGAATGTGTCCAAGAGAGGAATTTTAAAGGGTTTGGGGCTGACCCTGATGAGCCTATGGCAGCTGTGGAAAGTACTGTGGCATTGGGGAATTCCATGGGGTTGGATGTGAGTGGCGAAGATGTGGAAGAGTTCATGGAGGACCACAATGAAGAGCTAACCACTGAAGAGCTGCAAGGCCTTCATCTTCAACAGCAACAGACCACAGCTCAGGAAATTGCTTCAGAGGAGGAAGGTGCCTTCTTCAAAGATTAAGTACATTTGTGCAAAGTGGAGTGAGGTACAAACATTTATGGATGAACATCACCCTGACAAAGCTATTGCGGGCCGTGTTGGCAACATGTACAATGACAATGTCGGTCCCATTTTAGGAAAATTTTAAAGAAATGCCAGATACAGACCTCTCTAGAACACTTTTTTGAGCAAAAGGGGCCCAGTGACTCTCAAGCTGGTCCTAGTGGCATTAAAAAGCAAAGAAGGGAAGTAATCCCAGAAAAGGACTTGGTACCTTAAGTCATTATGGAGGGGGAGTCCCCTTCCAAACAACAGTACACCTTCATCCTCTCCCGTCTCATCACTCATCAATAAGTCTTCAATAAAGGTAAGTGTCATTTTATTGTTTTATTCTGCATGTCTCACTGTTTTCTGTGTAAGTAAATGTATATCTCATGTATAAAAATTATTTATTTTTAATACTTTTGGGTGTCTGGAATGGATTAATTAGATTTACATTATTTCTTATGGGGAAAATGAATTCGGAAATCATCAGATTCGGGTTTAGTCACTCTCTCTGGAATGGATTAATTACGATAACTGGGGGTCCACTGTATACAACATAAAATAGTAAATGTCAAGGTATTTAATGATAAAACATTAGAAAATGAAATGCTTATTACCTTGCAAAGCTTACAAGGTGTGGCATAACTGTTATAAAATATTAATTACAAAGAAGGCCCCTAGCATGCCTAAGCATTTCGGGCAGACTAACCCTAATTCTTACTCTATATTGGCACAGGTTATGAAGCAGTACATTTTAACATACATTATTGCATACTGATATTAAAGTTAGGTAACTGAATTGATTAATTAGATTTATAATAGTGAGGTAGTACAAAACATGTAACAATACAGCCTCTCCTCACTTAACCCTTTGACTGTCGCAGGCCCCTTTCTGAAACTGTCATTCTACGTAGTAAAATATTAAAAAAAAAAACAATTATTTTTTTCTTATGAAAATGTTAAGATTATTTTTCTGAGTGTTTTAGTCCAAAAAAATTTTTTTTGCCATCAGTACTTACCAAGATATAGAGCTGTGAAGTTTGCAGAAAATGAGCCGCGTATGGCAACAGCGGCGACTGCCGTTCACCCGGTAAACTTTAGTTTACTTGTATTTGAAGGTTTGTTGTTTCTTTCACTATTTTATTTTTTCACATAACTTATGTGGCCTATGAGACCAAAGTAAGGTGCAATGTACATATATACACTCGTTGTATACAACACAATAAGCACACAAACATAATTATCAATATATTGTTTACAAAACTTGTTTACAAAACAAACAATACAAAAAAATTTTTATTACTATTGTTCTATAATATATATACCAATGTACAGTCACCGAACATATTCCTAGAAGTTCTGCAGCTTGTGGAACTCTGTGAAACATGGTGTCATACACAGTGGTGTTTTACACTCTCACACATAACACCAGTGTGTGTGCATTTTTGTGGACTTTTTTTTTTTTTATGTGCAAAGACAAAACACCTCGTCTGAGCAGTTTTCTGCAAAGTATTAGCAGGCATTGTGTTATGTAGTTACCCTAGGTAAATGGTCGTATGTCATCATTCCTTCCTTCCTAATTTCCTTCATTCCTTTCCTGCATTCCTTTCCTACCTCTCTTCCTACATTCCTTCATCTGTCCTTCCTTACTTTTTTCCTTCCTTTCATCTCATCTTTCCTTCATTCCTGCCTTCCCTTCTTGCTTCTATAATATATATACACATATATAGTCACTAGATACTTTCATATAACTGCTATTATCTCCATTCAGCAAGCTTGTCTTGGGTGCGAGTGTGTGGCTTATAATTGTTT